GGCCGGGGGCGGGGCTGGACTGGGCTGGGGGAGGCTGCCGTGGCCTCTGACGTGGGGGCTCCGGGGATGCAAGGAGGGGTCCTGGTGGAAAGGGAAAGGCCCCTGACTCTGAGTTCTTTCTGAAGTTCGGGTACATTAGAGTCTGACTCTCCCGGAAGCCTCTGGGCCCCAAGGCCACAGGGTACAGGGGGACCCCTCCTCCTCTGCTGTCACCTGAGAATTGTACAAGTCGCAAGGAGCCAGGTCCCCACACTGTCCCACTCAAGCAGCTGAGGGGAGAGAGAGATACCCAGCTAGGCCCATCCAGGAGACAGGACCCCCATCTTTCCCAAAAGACCTGAGTCAAAGTCTAAGATATCAGGGCAGGAGGTGGGTGTGAGTGGAAATGAGTGACAAAACCACCCGTCACCTCCAGCCCAAGCCACTCAAGGGATTGTGAGGGTAGACCCTGGGTCACCCAGAAGTCCAGGGAGGGGGACAGATAGTGGGCTGCAGCTTCTCTGAGCTGTGAGGGGAAGAGGAACTGGCAGAGCCGTCAGGCCTGCTGGGCAGGAGGCAGGCACACACCCAGTGCCTCTGATTTAGAGAGGATTTTCAGGGGTGGCAAGGATGACACAGAGGCTGGTGGTGTAACCCCACCGGGAAGAGCTTCTGCAGAAATACAGTTTTACCTGCCCAGGCTTCCCTCAACTACACCATTTGGCAAAAGTCCCTGACCCATATTCATGTTGATTCTGGGTACTTTATCACAGGCTTCCATTCTACATGGTGTTTACTAGGTAGAGGGTAAATTGAGGCAGGCAACAGATACGGATATTTCCTGGGCCGGAGATATACAGTGTCAGTCTCAGGGCAGGAAAACCCAGGAGTTCAGTTCTCAGGCATGAAACCTGCTGCCCTCATCCCACACAGCCCAACCTGGAGCCACATCTACCTGATTAGTCTGACCCTCATGGACTTTCCCAGAGCAGAAAGAGGCAGGAGAGCAGCACGGCTGGCAGATGAGCACCTGGGGAGGTTGCCAGCTTGAGGGAGTGGGTTAGGGGATGGCTGGCAGATAGGTTCTGGAGTGGAACTGCTGAGTGGGGTGGGCAGAAGGTCAAGGGTGAAGGGCAGCTACCTCTGCTGAAGATGGGACTCTCATAGGGGATCTTGTTTCGAGTCTCAAGACTAGAGCAGTTCCAGCGCTGGTCCCGGAACTGGTGCTGGCACTCATGGATGGCGATCTGGATGCCCTGGATGGCTGAGGCGGCCACGTCAGGGTGGCGCACACACACCTCCATCTGCTGCTTGCTTAGGCCTGGCAATGTCAGGCACACTGTGTTGGCGTTGAGCACGGGCTCCTGGGGGAGGCGGAGGCCCAGAATATCATTGGGTGAAGACCTGCAGGCATGTGGGGTGGGGGTGGGGTGGGTGAGTGTTTTTGGGGGCTGGGAGGGCCCCACCTAACTATACACACTCTGTCCCAAAGGCCATAATTCCTCTGTTCCCACCCCTGCTTTTGAAGGTTGAGCCCATCAGTATACCCCTAAACATTCTCCTTTCCTCGAACCTTCTCACCAACATCCCCTCCAACACAACCCACCCAGCTGCACACCCACACAGATTACGTGCAAATGCACACACGTCCGGTATGCCTGCGCCCACAGTATTTCATAAGTACATCCCCAGGCATAGATGCTCTCATATGCAGTGTTCTCCGGGAGACCACTCCCAAACGGCATGTTTCAGACAGTCACATTCATGCAGGCACACTTCTGCACACAATGAGGTGGACACACAGACGCAGGAACATTTACCCACATGCACACTTCATCAGACATAGTTATACACATAGACACAGACACTCACAAGTACACACACGTATTCATCTTAACATGAGCCCTCGTGTTCACACACATGTGCACACACAGACTGCTGTTAACAACACAGCTTGCTGGGCTCACTCGATCACAGACAGATGAACAGACACACACGTACACACACACACACACACACACACACACACACACACACACACACAGAGAACCCTTCTAGCTGCAATCTCTCACTGACCCCACCTGGGCTACCCTCATTTGGCCCCCAACCCCTGCCCCCACTTGGGGGCAATCTGCAAGGTGGAGCAGGGCAGTTTGAGTTTTACTCCTGGGGTGGGGGGTGCGTTCCCCCAGCACAGCAGAGACTTCTGGTTGGCATTTGCTTCCCCCTAAACACACACCTCCCCTTCTAGCAGCCATCACTCTCCCGGGCACTGCCCTGTCTCCCTGGACTGCCCTTATTCTGTCACCAGTTCAACCCCCTCCTGTGAAAGTACTCTTTCATTGGTCACCAGCACTTTCCCGCGACACCGTCCCTCCCTCCTTCCAGGGTCCCCTGCCCCAGCAGGAGCTCAGACGCCCCTGTGGCTGAGGGTCCCAGTTCTCCAGGAGGGCGGGGCCGTAAGGTGAGGGCTCACCTGGGCAAGGCGGCAGCCAGCAGCAGTAGGAAGAAGAGGAGCGCGCAGAGCGCGGGCCGCGGCTGGGGCCGAGGTCGGAGCCGCAGCCAGGGGCAAGGGTGGGTGCTGCCCATCGCGCGCGGGCCGTGACGGGCCAGGAATGGGGGGCTCACAGCCCGGTGGGACCGGCGAGCCAGGGGCGACGGCGCATGATCCGCGGGGGTCGGGGCGGCTGCGACACACAGCTCCAAATCGGGTCACGGCTCCGGGAGCAGACGGTGCCCGCCTCCCCGCTCCATGGGGCAGCGCCCCCGGGCACCGCCCTCGGGGGGGGGGGGGGGGGGG